CGAACAGACACAAACCAGCCTGTTGACCATGGGTCTTGAACCGGCCCGTAGTTTTGACCAGTTCGGTTCATGTGCAATACTTTATAGTTTATACATTTTGAACCGACAGTTTCGGTTCCGCACTGGAACCCAAACCCGAGGTTCGGTTTTTTTTTAAAAAAAATATATATTATTTTTTCATTATTTTTTATTTTTTTTCAATGAACCGGACGACAAGTGAACTTATATCAATAGAGGCGGCAATATCATCACTTGAAGGACGATCTCGACTTGTCGACATATGCTCTTTTGGCTTAAAAAATGAATTGATAGTCTTTCTTTTCTTCATTTCTTGACCCTCCATTATGATTGAAACCTATAAAGTTAATATAAAATAGTTAATGAATCAATTATGATATAAGCAAACTAATAATAAAAATTAAAAAGAATTGAAAGGGCAATCAGAATTCTTAATTACTTCAAGCGAACACCAAAACTAATACTAACAAGTAACAACATAAATGGCATATCAAGTAAAACTAGTCAACTTCTTCAATCTTAACAAAACAAAAATCCACTAAACATCAACACTCCTAATAAAATAAATAGAATCACTATTTTCTTGATTTGATAACTAAATGACAATCACAAAATCAAATTGAAACAAAAATGACCACATTGCAAAAGTCAAAAGTGGTGGAACTGCTTTTATATTTTTTTTTAAGTAGCTTTTATAAATTAAACTAACAAAGACAAAACCCCCCAAATCCCAATACCCTAACTAAATTACATCTGAACAAAAGAGTATTTGAAAAAGAAAAATGCAAATTTAGATAAAGGGAATCTTGCTATTTCTCATAAGTTAGTTCAACTGAGACATAAAAGAGGTACGAACCGGGAAGTAGAATCAGAAAGAAAACCCTTACCAACGAGGTTAGCGGCCGTAGCCAAGGGTCGGGCGGTGGCAGATGGGCGGCGTCTCTGCAAGGAGTGAAGTCGAGACCGTGACGGTGGAATTAACGGCGACAGGAGTGAAGCTTGGGCCGTGGCGGTGGGATTGGCGCTTGGCTGCGGCAGGCTATGAGGAGCAAGCAGAGAATGAAGGAAGACAGATTGTCGATTCAATTCTCCTGGAAGTTTTCTAATTGAATAAGTATGTTCTAGCTTAATTTTTTATGCATAATTGGTTCGGGCCTTTAGTGAATAAATGAGTTGGTGTTTTAAATTTTAATTATTTTGGTTTTTGT